TGTAGGTGTTTGATGTTGGCACCACATTTAACTTCTAAAAGGACTGTAATATGCTGAAATTAAGTGCTTTACTGTCAGCAAATACTTCAGAAATGAATTCACTTACCTCTGTCTAAAGCATCAACACTTACTTCACAGTGAATTAGAACTTTTTTGCCCTTGCTCTAGGTGCTCAAAAATATCTAGTTGCTGGAGCTAAGCGTTTGTCTTAACAGTTGACTAGGTCTTCCTGGAAAATGGAATTTAAAGCAGTGTCTCTGAAGTGATGCATTAACAGTATTGAGGACATAACTTTAGAAGTTTTACATTTGATTAGAAGATAATTAAGAACACTTTTCTCCCCTTTTCCAGCTGGGTTAACAATTTTGGACATGAAGGTCTTGGGCTTTTATTGGACGTACTGGAAAGGCTCCTGGACAAGAAACAGTAAGGGCTCAAATCATTTGAATAGAGGGAGGGGGAACTCGTGAAAATGAATCACACTTACATTATTTTCCTCCTCCCTTTCAAGGCAAGAAAGTATTGATAAGAAGAATCAACATAAACTTATCCAGTGCCTCAAAGCATTTATGAACAACAAAGTAAGAAAAAATTTAAATTCAGATTCTTTTAGCATTACTATCTTGAATAGATTTCAGTATCAACTTAGCACGTTGAATCTTGGAAAAGAAGAGAATTTCTTTGTATATCGAGTGTCAGCTTACGCTTTGGAAAAATAGGTCTCAAATTGGTGTAATTTTTTTTTTTTAAGAGTCTTGTTCGTAAAGCTATGTTGAATATTATTAATTATGGACATAAAACCATTTGGCAAACATGATAATGATGTGAATTGAAGGTAAGTGAATTAGGAAAATAATTTGTTTATGAAATAGAAAGAAAAAATGTTTCTTTGTAAAATAGAGTGAGAACTAACTGTATTTTGCCCCCTGTAGAATGAGACTATGGAAATGCTGGTTATGGAAAACATAACTTTTAAAATATACTATCATAGGTTAACATGGAAGAATCTACTGTTGCTTCTCTTTAAAACTTGTTTTGAGTTTTTGTTTGCTCAAACTTTTTTCATTTATGGTTAATATTTTTCATACTGCTTGTATTTTGTCTACTCAGCAGAACTCTAAAATGCATTATTGTTTTTGTTAATAAATATAATATACTTCTCCACCTAATTTAAATCAAATATGATAAACATTTATAGGTACTGTTCTTAAAGCAGGATATCCTAGTGGGTAAAGGTTATAAATTGTCTAGTTTAAGATGAATTTGTTTTTAATGTGTTACTCGTGTTCACAAAGTTTGTGTCAGCTGCTTTTAGAAGTTGATTTGTTAAACTCATGATTTTAATTTGTTCATAAGAAACTCTAAGGTGTTGTTAATAAAGATTTGTCCTTCCCCCACGGCAGTAAAGATAACTATGTATTAAAGTTACCTTTAACTACTGCTGTTCAGTTTTAATAAAATCTCAAATGCTTATAGAATAGCTGTGGCACTGAATATCTTCTCAGATACTTTTTAAACCTGCCACACGAAGTGGGAAAAGTTAACTAAATGGTCAGATAACCAGCTGCCCTTTCTATTTTTTCCTTTTTTTGTTACACTCCTGGTTATTCCTACACATACACTGTAACCTCAAACAATTGATGTTTGATATGTGTCCTGTACTTAATGAAGATGAAAAAAAACTTTTAAATATATGCAAAAGCATGCAGTTTGAATTATCAGGACAAAAACTGAAAATATGATTTACGGTAAATGAAAGGAAGTATTTCTTTCAAGAAAGAGTTCTAAACTTTATCAGTCAATAGGTGAAAAAAATTACTTTAAGTTACCAGGGGAAAAGACTTTGCCCTATTGGAGTAGTTTACAGCAAAAAATAGAACAAACGTCTCATACTGATGGAGTCTTCCAGATATATTTAGGAAATAAACTGTGGTTTGTCTTTTTGGAGGCACCCGATTTTACAAGATACCTTCCTTAGGAGCTGAGTCTTTTTGTCAGGAAAACGCCTCGGATTTCAGATTGAGAAGACCGACTTGTGTCCCCAAGCAGTAACAGGCACAGGGTTTCAGCTGAAGAACGTTAGCAAGTTCATATGGAAGTGTGTGTGTGTAAAAATTCATAACGTTTTGAAACATTTGAACCTGTTTGATGGTGAACAGCTGGGGCAAATACAAGCTTTTCATTTTAAGTTTTCTTTTTGTTTCTCAAAGTATGGATTGCAAAGGATTCTAGGAGATGAAAGAAGTTTGTTATTGTTATCAAGAGCAATTGATCCAAAGCAGCCTAACATGATGACGGAAACAGTGAAAATACTTTCTGCTATCTGCATTGTTGGAGAAGAAAATATGTAAGTAGTATATTGAAATGAAATACTTTTTGAATGCTCGTGAGGTGTCAGTTTGGACATAGGTGAGAGAGAACCTGCCTGTGAAACAAATGCAACTGTAACCTGTTACAGTGTTTACAGTCTTTTTACTTTTTACGGTACTTCTAGATTAAATGAAGAGACTTTTAGCAGTTCTTATGTATTAATCCAGTATTAAATCAGAAAAAAAACAAATTAACGGAGAAAAGCATGGACCTGAATGGAATGCTTCAAAGAACTATAATTGCTTGTTGTATTTAAAAAAAAAAAAAAAAAAAGAGAGGGAGAGAAGATTTAATAAGCCATAAATGTTTGTAAAGGGCTGCTGAAAAGAGAAAAGTTGTTTCATAGATCCCTGATGAGTATGCAAAGAGTAGTAAGCTTTGCATTGTTGCAAGGGAAGCTGAGGCTTGACTTGAGGGAAAAAGTTTTCTAATGTTGTATAGAACTGAAGGAATGGGTTGCCACAGGAGGTTGTGGGCTTTCTTGTCAGTTGTCATTTAAGGACAACTTAGATCAATGGATGTTAGGCTGGGACCTAACATAAACCCATTAATGATCTTATCCATTAATTATCAGTCCCATTAATTATCTTATCCTGAGGAGGGGAAGATGAAGTAATTATTTTTCAAAATAACTGGTATGACACTGCATGTAGAGGTTTATCATTAGTTAAAAAAACAACTATTATAAAAAGATGATGGATTTTATCAAAGGATCTCCCCTCTACTTAAACATAGCTAATATGAGCAAGTCAGAAGAGTTGCACTTACACTTGAAGTCTTAAATAATTCAAGTTACGGAATTAAGTTATGTAGCATGTTCTCTACCAGCTTTTTAAAACAAAGATCATGTGTGGATGTAAGTGTACTTTGAATTGTTGAGTGTGTTAGTTTACTGAAGGTTCAAAAAAGCAAATTCCCCATCTTATGTACAATAAATAAATAATTTTGGTTTCTGAAAAGACAACTAGAATTCCCCAATATCAAACTTTTCTCCTTGTAACAAACGCACAGTGTTGCAAAGACAGTTCTTGTTTTTCTTCAAACATATTTACTTGTTTCTTATCTGAATGTCCCAATAGAAATTTACTTTCCTTACTTTAACTGTAAACTCACAGATAGCTTAACATTTGTTCTTTGATTTGTTTTCAGCTTAACTAAAAAACCGTAGATAAATGCATTTATAGTATCTATCAGTGCACTAAATGCTTGAGTTCAGTAAAGAGTGGGCTAAACGTCTTCAAAATGGGAATGTTGACTATGGTAAGCTTTTGACAGTTTATCTTTCCCTGTAGTCTTGACAAACTTTTAGGAGCCATAACGACTGCTGCTGAGCGGCGCAATAGAGAACGCTTTTCGCAAATTGTTGAAGGGCTGGAGAACCATGAGTTTTTACAACTGCAGGTGTGTTGACTTTTTTCTGTACGCTTTTGATACTTCAGAAATAATATGAAATAGAAGAAGACTGTATGTGACTGTATGACGACTCTAAGACTTGTTTTTCCAGCAAAATGTTTTAGCTGCATTGTGTAATAAAACATGCAACATGATGTGCCATATGTTTCCCCTTACCATGGATCATGCTCCTGTTGTGGCATATCACCACTCTGCCCCCAGCCATGTGTTACCCCCTGCACACGTCATACCCCTTCTGACATATCATGCCCTGCCACATGTCCCACCCTTCATCCAACATATTACACCCCACTAGACTCATATAGTCTCCTACCACCACTTATCATGCCTCTGTTCAGACATACCACTTCCCCGCCATTCATCATGCCCCCGTTCTGATGTATGGCCCCCTCTCAAAAGTAATCATGCCGCCCTTCCAACATACCATGGCCCTGCTATGTCTCATGCTCCCTGCATGTTATCTCTCCCCCCCACCACTTTTCACTCCCTCATTCCAATATATCATGCCCCTGCCGCTTATCATCTTCCTGTTGCTTATCACCCCACCGTTCCAGTGTATCACCCCTCCTGGCCACATGTCTCCCCCATGTGTCATCTTCCTGCCACTTTCCATATCACGCCCTATTCCTACATATCACGCCCCCCTGCTACTTATTATCCACCCCCTGGCCAACATATCATGGCCTCTTGACCTCTTATCGCACCTCCTTCCTACCTGTCATGCTCTCTCCACTACTTATGGCCCCTTCTGATATATCTCCCTCCCACCACTTATTAGGCCTCCTTGCCACTTATTATGACCCTCTGATTATCACCCCTCCCTGCCAATTTGTATGCCCCCTTTTGGTGTATCACACCCCATTCTGGAATATTGTGCCTCCCTGCCAATCATGCCCCATTCTGATATAACATGCTCCCCTGCTACTTCTCACATCCCCTTTTGGCATATCGCCCTCTCCTGCCTAAGTATCACACCCCCATCACACATCACCCCTCCTGCCACTTACTACCCCACCGTTCCGATGTATCACACTCCACTGACCATGTATCATGACCGCCTGCCACACATTCCGCCCCCCCCCCCAACTTATCACGCATCCCCCTGGCACATAAGATGCCCTTGCCTCACTTATGACCTGCTCCCCCAACATACTTATCATCTCCCTGCCACATATTGTACCTGTTTCCCCACACATATGCCTCCATTTGCCCATATCGCCCCCAAGTTACCTGTGACAGATCATGTGGCATGCAACAGATGACTTGTGACATGTGAAGTTTTGTATGTCATATGTTCTCTCATGTCATGTGCTACATGTTGTTTTGTATCCCATGTTGCTACTATCCCATGTTGCATGTCATATCATAGCACATGTGATAAGGCACATTACATGACATACCAGGTGACATGTGACCTGTGATATGATGCATCAGTGACATGTGATGCCTGGAATGTGACATGTGACCCATGGCACATGACATGTCTCATGAGGCATGACATAGGATATGGCTAGGTCATGTAATATAGGACATGCTGTGTCACTTCATATGTGCAGTGACATAACATACCATACATGTGATACGTGACCATTGACACTTCATGTGACACATGACATTCTGCATCACCTGTTGCTTCATATATCACACTGTCACATGTCATTTCATGTGTCACTTCATGTCATGTGTTGTGTCATGGCATCAGTTGTGCCTCATGTCACATGTCGTGTCAAGTGTCACTTCGCATGTCATGAGTCATATGTCATGAGTGTTTGCATAGAGACAAAGTGCCTGAATATCCTATTGAAGAATGACTTTGTTTTTAGCATATAGTCTTTATAGTCATATTTTGTATTGCTAAGGTACAAATTTCTATAGATTTTATTCTTATCTGCTTGCAAGCAGTGCTATAGGAATTTAGGTAATGCTTTTTTCGAAGAATACATTTGGTGGCAATTTCTGCAAAATAAGGTTTATGTTCTGCTTTGAAATTTGTCAGTTTTGAAAGTCTCAGCCCACAATGTTTATATAGAAGCGTCACAGTAAAAGTTGGATGACACGAAAGTTTGCAACTCAAAACTCTTCAATACAAGTGTGAAAATTCTTCTAGCTTGTAATGTGGAAAAACCCACAATGCAACTCAAATGCAGTAGTCCGTGAGGAATGACTTTATTTCTGTTGTTTATGAGTAGAGAATTAGTTATAAAGCATACCTGCAAAATTTCTTCCAGTGTTTTTTAAATTGCTATTTCATAAATAAGCAAATTATTTGTTAGTACTAACAGGATGAATATTGAAACGTAGGTGACAATGTTTGACAAGTACCAGAGGCCCTTAATACTGGAATTTCTGAAAAGCTAGCTTAGAGGAAGCTGAGATCAATACTTTTCTCTGGTTAGGCGGAATCTGTGCACTGTTTTTGAAAGCATCTTTAACTGAAGTGGTTGGTTGCCTTTATGTAGATAATTCGTAACGTACCTAAGCCTTACCTCTTAAATTAATATTAATGATACGTATTAATACTGGTATTAGTCCTACTGATGCTATCACAAAGGAAATTCATTTTGAAGCCGTCTCCCACTTTACGATCCCCTCGATAAAAAAATACTTACACTTCAATAAAGGCATAATTGCAAGAGTCATTAACTTGTTCCTGACAAAAGCGTTCTTTACTTGTAATGCAGTAGCATAAACCATTAAGCCAGAATCTCTTCTGGCAAAAACAATCATAGCAGATGGCGCCTCTTCTCTCTATTAATTTCTGATTGGACATGTACTTTGCCTCGTTAAGTTATGTCATAGTAGTAACATAGCAAGTATTATTCAAGCAAGCATGATGATACTGCATTATCTGGAGATGCAGCTATATGTAAAGGGAGTGCCTTTCAAAGTGAGTTTTGATAGAAATTTAAGACTCCTTAAGGTGTTCCATTAAAACTAAATAGCGAATGTAATTAAAACTGGAAGGGGTTTTTATCTTGCTTCTTTTTGTCCAGCAGCTATAGATTCCCTCCACTCTGCCATGCTACTTCTATTTGCAGTAAGCATCTTTTGCTAAACTGGGTATTTCCCTGAAGTCCCGTTCTAACGTATCAGCACTTTTGGCATTATGCTATTGTCTGCCTGTTTTAAAATAAATCAATTAAAACGCACAGCTGTTCAGTTAAAACATTAGCCAGTAGCCTGAGACTTCAGACATTTTACAAAAATGCTATGCAGGAGCAGAAAATACACACCTGATGATTTTATTTTTGTTGATTCTTTATTTATAATCTCTCGTTGCTGCAAAAGCAAGTTACGTTCAAAGTGGAGAACGCTAAAGAGGAAGAGAAGGAGTAGAAGTGTGGATATGTAGCGTGGGAATAGCTTTCTGAAATAAAGCTTGATCCTTTACAGGTGATACGATTTTGAAATAGCAGAAGGGCAATGCTAAAACAGAGCGGTATTTGATGTTGCTTATATTAACTGAAGCCGGATGTTATATACACGTGAAACAATACATTTGGTACCACTGTAATTACTTCTCCTTGAGTTTGTGTTGTAATACCGACACACGCATTCAGAGGTTGATGTAACCAGCATGCTATCGTCTCTTTTGTAGTTACGACATTAGATGGAGCTGTAGTTTTACTTGTGTCCTGGAGTTTTGTTATTGTTTTTATGGCAATGTCTATGTCTTGACATCTGTTTTTATAACTTGAGTAAACTGAATAGTCAAAGACAATAAGTATTTGTTTTCATTCCATTCTTAGTAAAAGCTTTTGCCTATATTTCTGATTATAGGTAGCCTGTATGCAGTTCATCAATGCCCTTGTTACATCTCCAGAAGATCTTGATTTCAGGATACACTTGAGAAATGAGTTCTTACGTTGTGGACTGAAAAAAATATTGCCTGTAAGTAGTTTGTCTGTATAAAGGAATGGATCACAATGAACAATCTGCAGTTGTTGAAAGTAACTAAACTGTCTTCTCAGTGCCAGTGAAAGGTTGGGGCTTGGGGAGGCCAGACCTAGAAAGGACTATCAATCCAAATCTACTTTTGTGTTCTGCATAGCTGCTGCAAATAGTTTTATTACTTTCAGCTAGCAGTTAAGATGCAGTAATGTTTTGAAACATATCAATTTTAGTTTGTGTACGTTGTAAAAGTATAGTGAAAAGGATGATTTAGGCTTTCATTAGTTGTGTAGACCAGAATGGCACCTGGGAACTAGTCAGTATATATTAGAAATTGAATTAGGATAGGCATCTAAATAGGCAGAATGAGTATAATTGCTTAGGAGTGTCATTGCAAGGGTAGGTGGTTTTTTTTATTCCTCTCAACCAAGAAACTGTTTTGATATAATAATATATATATTAGTTATAAGGTGTAATTAAGCTACTGAGCATTTTGCCACAAAAAACAAGAAGTAAAAAAACCAGTACCTGCTTACTTTTGTCTGAAATAGTTTCACTTTTAAGATACCGGGTTTTGCATCATCAGTATTTGTCGGGAATAAAATCCTTTAGTTTTTAGCACATTCAACTTTGTTACTGATTTGTATGTGTCAGATTTTCTTAGGGTATGTTCATGAAGCTTCAAGTTTTATATGATGTAGAAACCTTAATATGATATGCTGGTTTTATTTACTGCAGAATATCTGAAAGCTTAAAAAACTCTTTTATTTTCTTTTGATTTTTAGTCTTTCTTTTTTTTCTTTTTTCTTT